GGGGAGTGGGTGGGAAAAGCAACTCGCCCCCTGGAAAATTCCCAGCGCGCCCCCATCTCTCCATCCATCCATCCATCCATCCATCCTTCCTTCCATCCATCGCTAGCTAGCTCGTTCCCCCTCCTCTTCCCCTCCCGTTCCTCCCTCGCTGCTTCTCAGCCTCCCCGCCGCCCTTACCTGTAGCCATCTGATTGTAATGGGCTACGGAATCGCTGCTGCCGGAGAAGAGGTTGAGTGCGCTGGGGATCTCCTCGGGGTACAGATTGTCAGGCAGTTGGTTTAGCAAACTGCTCATGGTCACCGGCAGCTTCTCGGCGAGTTTGCCGGTCATAGCACTCCCGAGCTGCCGCCGCCGCCACCGCCGCCGCCGCCGCCGCTCTCTCCTAACGCAGCTTCCAGGCGAGCGGCATCCGAGAGGCGATCCGTGGTGCAGGGGAAAAGCATGCGAGAGGGAAAGTTCGGGGGGAGGAGAGAGGGAAAAGGGGAAGGGGTGGGCCAGAGGAGGGGATCTTCTCTTTTCCGCCGCCACCGCCGCCACTGCCGCTGCCTCTGCCGCTGCTGCTGCCGCTGCTGCTACCACCACCACCAGCCCCGCCGCTTCCTAGCAAGCTCACTGCTGCCCAAAAGCTCCCAGCCAGGGAACTCCACCAGCCTATTTATCTGAGCCCCGGGAAAGCTCCGTGACGTAGCTGCCCATATATGGACAGACAAAGCCCAGCCGAAGGGGCGCGACGTCACAATGGAAGCTCCTCACAATGGAACATTAGAAAGCAGGAAGCGGGCGGCCGCCAGCGTGCGGCGTCCGCACCGCTCGCGGATCTTGAAAAAAGAGAAATAGAAGAGAAGAAAGGACAATTCGAGAGGAGAGAGGACAGAGGGATGCAACTGAACGCAAAGCGTAAAGCACGTAGCGCGCATTTGAAAAAGCCATAACTGCCTGTATGTTTATTTTGGGTCTGCACGAGGAGAACCCCCTGGGAAAGCGGGTGCGCGGACGCGAGTGTGTGTGTGTGTGGGGTGGGGGGCGGGCGGCGGGAGGAGGTTTGCTCCAACACCCGTAGCAGGAAGAATGAGAATTGAAAACCCCGGGCAACGTCCCTTTGCAGCCTGGGAACTTGTGGGGAACCCGGAAGGCGTGCACTCCGACACTGCTCCAGCGGACTCTGCTCTGCTGCTCTTCTCGGGCCCAGGACCTTGCCTGAGGCCGGGAGAAAGGAAGCGCGACCCTCCGCGGAGAAGGATTCCAGCGAGTCAGAGACACCTGGTCCCAAATGCCGAGAACTTTTGTACCTCCCTCTCTCTGATTCACCGCCCACACCCCTGCCTCTCCCCGTGCCCCCTGCGCTGACTCCTGGCTGAGTGCCCTGGCCTGGCGGGGAGAGTCGTAGCTGCAAAGAGACTGCGCGGGAGGCGAGAACCTCACACATTTGGGGTCGAGGATGTGTGGTTTTGTTGTTGAAGAAGAAAAAATGAAGTTGGGCGGATAGGAAACACGTGCACCAAATCCTCGACTAATTCACTAACGGTTCCTAAGCATCTCTTTGGCCAGGGAGTGGCAGGAGGGCCTAGCAGGCTTGAGCGCAGCCGCTGTCTATTGCTGCCTGGGAAGGGCCCGCAACGCAGTCGCAGCAGGACCTTGCCGAGCTCACAGTCTGACACTCTGCTGGTCTCCCGGCGGCCTCCCCTCGTCTCTACCCTAACCATCGCCCTCTACAGGGCTGTCCCTGACGCCCTGCAGTCAAAGGCCGCCTGTTTGCCAACCCGAGAGCTGTCACCTCCCGTAGCAGCAGATCCCGGGGGCGGCTGATATGTTCCCCGAGGCCTGCTCCCGGAGCGCGCGCGGCCAGGCCCGGGGAAAGGGAGTAGAGGAAGGGAGCGTGGGGGAGCGACCCCGAATCACACTGGCTTGGCGTGGGAGGATTCCCTCCTCAGTGGCCGCGTGGGTGCGGTGAATCCCGTGTCCCCCGCTGGGGAGTCGGGTTGGGGGAGACGTGCATTTCTCAGGGGGAGTAGGAGTGTTGACAAGGAGGCAGAGAGGATCCCCGAGCCTCACGCCGTGGGAGGGCCACGCGGGCCGGGGAACGCGTGGGAGGAACTCCCGAGCTGCACATAGCGGTGGGGGTGGATGACAACCTCGCTTTCCTCCCCTCCATTTCACTCCTCGGAGAACTGGGAGTGGGAGGGGCCAGTCTCCCCCGGATCTTCTCTAGTTCTTAGGAAAGGAGGGATTCCCGCTGCCCGTGAACCCCTTCTCCCCCGGCCCTGCCGCCACGCTCGCCAGGCTCCCCAACCTAAACCGGGGAAGCACTGTGCCCCCGGGCTCTCCTCCGCCCGCGCG